GTTTCTGACCAGACTGTCCCAGTCTAACCTGCTCTGGGGAAAAAAATCCACGTCTGGAGAGTCCAGAGCTTCTCTGGGCAGCCCGTCCCCGTGCTGAGCCCAGCCTCAGTGGGAGCCCGTTCTTCCTGATCTCCAACCCAAATGCTCTTTGCTGCTGCAATGTAAAGCCATTGCTCCCTGTCCTGTCCCCTGTGGCTTTCCTGCATACAACTGCCCTTGTGGGGGGGGGCTCTTTGTTCTCCACCTCCTGCGTGACCACGCTCGCTTTCCCTTGAGGCGCCCCCCCAGCCATGGGGGACCCAGGAGAAACACTGTCAGCCTGAGGGAGTCGTATCCATGGCCCACACTGAAGCCCTAAAATACCAAGCTCTGTTCTCCAGCCTGTGCCAGAGACACGAAGCCTGGAGGCAGGCCCCAAGCTCAGCCTGCTCTTGAACCGGGGCCCGTGCACCGTCCAGGCAGGCGGCTCTGCTGAAGGGTGCAGGACGAGCAGGCTGGCCTCCAAGGTTTGCCTTTGCACTGCCAGGAGCCTAGGCTTCAGGGTGGAGATCAGGAAAGGGACCCTCCAGCTTGTCTGTTCTCCTGTGGCCTGGGGGCCTGCTTGGTCACTTGCTCACCCCCACTTCTGTTCTTTGCTGAGAGAAAAGCTTTGCCTATGATCAGGGCTTGTGCTAGTAGCGGTCCATGGGAGATCCAGCGTTGTGGTCCGTGCCTCCGCAATGTGCCTGCAAAACAGTAGGCTCCCGACAAGCTTTGCCCCTTTGCCACCTGGACAGGAAGAGTCACAGGTTCAGAGGCGAGGGGGAGCGCTGGCACTGGCCGGGGCTGTCTCCTTACATCCCAGTGTGCTGGAGGCTCTTGCACCTTTTTTTAGTAATAAGGCTGGCCAAGGGCTGGTTGTAGGCGGGGGCCACCTCATGGGCCTCAGACAGATGGACTTGAAGGTAGCCAAAGCAGAGAGGCCTCAAGCCCATATCCCACACAAGCCTTTGACAGCAACTCAAGGCCACAAGCCCTGGCTTTGAACCAAGCTGGGCACTGCAGTTGGTTACACGGCTCTTTGGGCTGGCACCCTGAGCAGCCAGGCACAGAAAGACAGGGTGGTCCTGCAGCCAGCGTAGGGGAGTGGGCAGGCCTGGCGCACTGTGATGTGAATTGTTGGCTCTGAAGTTTCTTGCCCCCTGTCCTCTGCCTTTTCTTGAATGTGGATCTCAAGGCTTTTAGACCCAAATGAAGCTCCACCCCCCCCACCTTGTTAAAATCAAGGCACCTTTTTGAAAAGTGCCAGCTGCAGCTTTCACTCATTTTTGGGCAGGGGGCAATTCTGGTGCAAAGCACTCAGGAAACCCACAGCAAGTCGGCCTTTCTGACACGCTGGATTCCCGTTTGAAATTTTGGGTCTATCTTGTGAATCATATGTACATGTTCACACCCCTAACAGTGCTGATACTGCACAGCACCCCTAAAAGGATCTCATGGCACCTCCGGGTGTCATGGTCCCCTAGTTGAGAACAGCTGATTTAACGCTGAAATAAAGCTGTGGTAGAGTCCAGCCTCGAGCCCAGGTCCTAGCAAAGGGCAACACGTGTGCAGCGGCGGCACGGAGCAATGGGTCTCGCCCTCCCACCTCCCCGTGCAGCAAGAAGGGCCCAGGACAGAGCGTCTCAGCATGTCTCATCCTGTGGCGCAGGCTTTTGGGATGGCCCCAGAAACAGTCACAAGCTCTGGGCTGCGGCTGGCTGAGTCCTTCTCGTTCCACCCCACCTTTTATTTTTATTTTTTTAAACCAGGGACCTGGTAATGGACACAGCAGTAGTTGTCTCTCTCCCGCTCTTGCTTTCACTGTGTGCGGTTCACAGGCCTGGCTCACCATGGGCTGGGGTATTAGCACACCCACGTGCTGAGCGAGTGCCAGACGGGGGGGAGCAGCCCCCATGCAGGAAATGGGCAACCAGAGCAGGTGCTGCTCTAACAGCCGGGGTTTTGCCTGGTGCCCAGTGAGCAGCAAGGGCCCAAGTCGGGTTCAAGAATCACAGCCCTCAGGAAGCCTCCCCCACCAAGGCTAGGCTGCCACCTGGCTCAGGCCCTGGATTTCTGCAACTGTGCCCTTCAAGCCTGGCCAGCGTCCCACCTGGAAGGCACTACAAATAGACCGGGGCAGGCAGGAACCTTTCTCAGCACCTCAGAAAGTGCCTCCTTTCTTATTGCAGGGGTAAATGCAGGGTCCGGGCCATCAGCAAGCTGCCTTCTTTCTGAGGAGGCTGTAAGCCACTGAGTGGATGCCAATGGACAGTGCCCAACAGGAAAGGGCACGGGTCATTAGGCAACAGGAAAGATGAGTGGTTACTTTGCGTGCCCCAACCCCTGCCCGTTTCTTGTGTTGGGTGGCCTGTGTGGGGCAGCCTGGCAAGGACGCACCTCAAGGCTGGCACGTGAGACTCCCAGGAGCTTTTAGGGCCGCAGCCTGGTGGTTGGACTCGTGTTATGAACCAGAGGACCGGGGCCAATCTCTGCTCCCCAGCCACAAGGCTGCCCACCTCCTCCCCCATGGTTGCGCTCCCTGCCCTTCTTCATGACTCTTCATGCAACTAGTCACCAGACACGACACGCTGGGGCTGTTGCCCTTGTTCCCCTGCTTTATGTTCCTAGCCAGTGGGATTTGATTGCTTCTTTTACAGGTCATTAAACACCAAATGCTCCTTATCAATCAGGGGTGACAGGGTTTGCTTCCACTGCTGCATGTGTCATGCTTTTCTCCTTTTGAGTCTCACTTGCCTGAAGTGGCCCTTGGTCTGAGACACCAGCAGCTAGCTTAATGCTTTGGCACACAGAGCTCCTTCCTGCTTCCCAGCCCCCACCCCCCACATGCTTGCTTGGTAGACTGCAGTATGTCCCCACGAGCTATTCTTGGCTCTGGCTGGGGCTTCCCTTTACCTCCAGCACGTTGCATCCTCTGTCAGGAAGCCCAGTGCCTCCCTGGTGGGAATGTTGCAGCCTTGGCATTCACGAATAGCTCCCCCAGCCCAGACCGTGCTGTGAACAGCTATAAATGACCTGAGGAGCAGCTGGCCTGGAGCTCAAGCCAGGGAAGTGGCACTCACACAATGAGCCGCGCAGGATGCAGAGCCACCCTCCTTGCCCAGCGGCTCTGCCCCAGTTCTGGGACTGGGATTGCCATTAGTACCGCAGGGACAGGTGGGCTTTGGCAGGGGGCAGGCAGGGAGGCAGGTCTGCAGGGCACAAACGCCTGTGGGGCTGGGCTGGGGAAGGTGCCAGTTCCAGTTCATCACACGGCCCCCCCACCCCAATCCCTTCTCATCTTCTTGTGTGGTCCCAACCCAAAGCTGGTGCTGGCTCAGAGAAGCAGGCTGCAGCATGGATTGCTGTACCATGGCAGCACGCCATCCAAGTGTTCATTGCATGGTAGGTACAGTGCGACGGGGCAGCGGAGGGCATCACTGTAGACCTTTGGGGACTGTTCCCTCGCATGCTACACCATTGCTACAGCCGCACCTGGAGGGTAAGGCCATGACCGCTCCTTCTCTTGTCTAGTCCAGGCTGCTGGGTTGGTGGGCTGGGGAAACCAGCCTGAGCTACAGCAGTCTTGAGGCTGCTCTTCTTTATAGGGCAGCCTGATGATGGGGGACAGCAAAGGGCACTATTAGCTCCCTCACTCCCAGCCCTGTGACCCACTCTGCTGAGTCTCCATGTAAAAGGCTGAGGGTTTTTGGGGACCATAACCAAGCCTGGTGATTTGTGAGGCTCAGCTTTGGCTTGCATGTAGCCAAAGTGTAATACTGAGTGCCCCCCCACCCCCTTTTTCTGGGGCCGACTGAGAAGCCAGTGGGACTCGAGTCTATGCAGCCTGACTTTCTGCCAGACTAATCAGCTCCAGTGAAATGGCTAGGGAACAAGTTCAGACATTTTAGTTCTTTTACATGGCTCCCAGCTGCCGGATGTGCCTCAGTGGTTAGGGACAAGGGCCTTCATGAGGACCCAGTCGGTCAGCAACAAACAGTTCAAAAGTTTGGTGGGCTGTGGCCTCTTCCAAAATGCTGGGTAAGCCGTGACTTGACCCTGTCTTACCCCACGTACAAGGTGAGCGCCAGGGAGGCCCCTTCACTGAGATCGTCACTAGGCTCTTCTCACATCATGATTACGTTAGAAGCCATGAAGCAAGTGAAAAATCAACGTGAGGGGGTTCCTGCAGCTCTTCCTTCCCCTTCTGGAGATTTCATACTGGGGTTTGCTTGATGAGCTGTTGCAAGCTTGGGTGCTGCAGGTGCCCTCCTTTTTATTACATACAACTGTCCCTTCAGCTCAAGGCGATTTGAATAGCGCGTTCTTTTGTCTCGAGAATTTGGGTTGAAAGAAACATGGTCTATGCAAACCTCCATGCAGAGACCTGGCTATAAACTTAATGTCAAGGGAGCGAGCCAGTCCAGTCCTGGTAGCTGCAGCTAATGAGCAAGTGCCCTCTAGAGAGCAAAGTGTGCATTGCTCTAGTCCAGGGTCTCGTACTCACAGAGGCTCGTGCAGTTTTGGAACAAGAAACAGCCTTTGCTGGGTGCTTTCCCTTGAATGTGCAAAATTACAAACTCTAAAAAGCAGTATGCAGCCCAGAGAGATGTGATCCTTAAAACATCCTATAGGGTTGGGAGGCCTACATAAGGAAATGCACTGTTGTCCTCTGTAACAAGCAATGATTTTTTTTATCTTAAAGTGTTCAGACAACCCTACAAGCCATATCAGAGCCCATCAGCTGCTAAACTATACCCAGCATCAACTTTTTCATTTCATATGATTGTTCTGAGCTGCAAGTGTGACTTGATGGGGTAAAAGCAAATGTGTCCATGGCCTTTCAGTAAAACAGCATCTGATGAACTAAGCCTGCTGCTTATGAAAGCTTGTACTATGCATCTCTGATTTAGTTCATCTGTAAGGGGTAAATCTACGCTGCCTTCTGCCTTTCAATAATGAGCATAGCTGTGAATTTAGCATGTGTTTAAATCCATCAGTCTTTATTGAAGAGTCATACACCAACTGTATTAGCCACGTTATTGAACTGACCACTAAGTTGCCTTACTAACTAATCTTGAGATGCAATAAAATAAACCAGTATACTGAGAACAGCTCCTTTATTCTAATGGAACACACATAAAACTCATGTAAAGTCCTGTTACAGGCAAAAGAAACCAGTTTTTTAAATGTTTTTGCAACAGGGAATACACAAGCTACAGACCCAACACCTTTGAAATTAATGCATGTGTGTGATAGCCTCTTCCACAGCTCTACGTATAATTATTATCTGTGCCTAAAGTCCATATTCCTCCTAAAATAATAGAAATGACCCATTTCAAATGTGCCAAAGATGCTAGAGTTTGTAAATTAGGCACACAGTTGTGCACTAGACTTCTTATAGCACAATTTATATTGTTTTTGTTTTATCAAATTTAGCCTTGTGTGTATAATATGCTTTGCATAGATGTGCAAGAGAGTTAGCCAAATATCTGTGTGTAAAGTATGATAAATGATTTCTTTCCATGTGGGAAGTTAGATGTGTTTCCAGATTACAAAAGAAAAAAAACCTTATAAAGAGCAGCCACAATAAAATAATTACAATACATCACTCATGCCTACTGACACTAACTGTAGCAATTTAAACTACAAAGAAGTGAGAGGCCACAACTGAGAAAATTGCCATTTGGGGGACTCAGCCTGCCAGGGTCCTGTCTACAGCTTTTCCAGGCATGTGGAAGAGTGATTTGTATGTGAAGCACTGTCAGGCTTGGATGCTGTGGGTTGGAAAGCACTTGAACTTGCCTAACGATTTGCATTCAGTACATCTTAAAGTCACATGTGATTAACATGTTAAGCTTCACATCACACCCATGAGATACAACTCCACCAGCTGCCCTGCCTTCCAGACCACATCAGCCTGTGGGTCTGCTGCTCATTTGAGTTCAGTGCTACCCACCCTCCACCCACATTTGGTTGCCCTTGCTGTGAAAATGATCCAGGCCTCGCTGAGCTAAGGCTGGCCCCAATGCAACAGCAGCAGGTGCTTAATATACAGGATGGACTTGCTGTTTACTGGGGCCAGCAAGCTCAGCCCCTTGCAGGACTGTGTGGGACTCAGGGACGGACCCGTTTCTGTGCATGGCATGGCTCCCCTGGCAGTTTGCAGCTGCCGTGTGAAGAACAGGTCTGGGTGCTTTCTGGGAGGTTTAGGGCTCTCATTTTGGGTCCCTACCCAACACTGCACTGCAGCCCTTCTCCTTTGGGCGGCAGCCAGCTGAGGGGCGTGTGGTGGCTGCTCATCGCTAAAACCTCATCTCAGCAGAGGCAGCTGTGATGCAGGACTGCGGCTTGCCTGGCAGGAGAGCGGATTTGAGCCTCCTGCTTTATTCTACCCACCTGCAAAATGAACATTCCCACCTGCCTTGACAGCCTCAGCCTGCTTGGCTGTGAACAGCCATCTCCATGTAAGCTAAGACAAGCCCCATATTCAATCGATGGAAAGGCCTGTACGATAGGGCTCATGCTATCGAGCTTTACATGGGTTTAGCTGTGATGCTAAGCCTGGGTGATAATAGACAAAGCTTCTTGCCTTGCGCTGGCTTGTCCCGTGCTTATTGCCCCACTACTGGTCAGAGCTATAGCAGCATTCCCTGCCCCTCTCCCCCTGCACACCCCCGCAGTGCTCATAGTTAAACCAAGTAAGCAAATCCTGTTGCATTTGATGGGGTCAGGAAGAGGCAGGACACACCCACCCGGTCTGCTCCCATTTAAAGGGGAGAGGAAGCCTCCAGCATGTGGCCTGGGGGAAGCCTTTCCTGCAGCCTGGTTTTTCCAGCCCAGCCTCACGCAGCTCTTATTTCAGCCAACATGATGAAGCTTTGATTCAATTCCCTTTCCTGCTTGTTGGGAGCTGCTTCCAAGCAGATGGGCTCAAGGGATAACTTGAAAGACGCTTTGTCTCCATTCAACTTGATGCCATGGCATGCCATGGAAAAGACTTGGCATGCCATAAAAAAGCCAAGGTAAAACACAATCTGAAGAGGCAATGCTCACAAGAGGCAGTATGTTAAAAACAGCTTAGGTGGGAATCCAGCTGGGACTGCACACCAGCAATTGCGCTCCTTGTGCTTACTCTTGAAGGAGGCCATGTACATATCCCCTAGCAAGTTCAGTATTGTCATGTAAAATCAGTACCTTAATCTCACCTCCTACCAATGCCAGCAGAGCCCTACAGCAGATACTACCACAAATGACTGGGGATCATTCCTATGCATGCATGAGAAAAAGCAGCATGGAGCAGAGTACTGAGCCTGGTTTGAACCTTTCAGCATGCAGTACACTGAACTCACGGTCCCGCGGGTTACTTCTGCTTGTTGGGCTAATCTGTACAGCTGCTGAGGCTGGCCACAAATAGTCGTCAATGCTCTACCAGAACAGACTGTCCTACGGTGTCCATCTGCTGTTAAGAGAAAAAGATGCTGCTAATTTTGAACATCTAAGTGTGTTCCTGATTGTAAACACGAAAGGACATCATAACTAATAACTGACTGACAGTGCTTATCACCGTCATGCAACAGACTGGATAGAGGCCTATTACCAGTTTTCTCTTGGGAGAAGCCAGAAATTCTCAAGTATGTGTTATAGCTTCAGTATGATATTGAGACTTTTTTAGGGCAACCAACTTGGCCTGTGCTTTTAGGGCAGGGATGTCTGAATTCTACCTCTAGCACTGCTGAGAAATTCAAAATGGCCATTGCTTCCAACACCGCAGCAATTATGGAAGTTTCTTAGGCCAGCAGAGATTTAGAATGATGACAGGATCCAGTATATTCACATGGTTTCTAAAAGCCTTTACCCAGATTGCTATTCGTGTCATATCCTCATGTTTCAGAACTTAAAAATAAAGCAAGCCTGTGGCTATGGCAATGAAGAGCTTTGGTTTTAAGCATACAGGGACAGATGCATTACTATCTTGCAAAACCAACCCTTTTGCTGGTCATCTTCATCTCCCCACCCTTCCTCATTCCACCAGAAGTGCATTCAGAATTTGGTACCTCCTTGGACATTGTAAAATTAGTTTATTTTGGGAATCGTGCCCATTTTTAGGCTTTTTATATCACCCCCCATATGCATTTTGATCTCTAATACCAATCTGCACATCAGATTCCTCTGGGCAAAGTCAGACTAAAGCATTACACATCATAATGCTGGTAACACATGCACAGATATATTTCACACTATTAATCATATGGGCAAAGCATTCACAATTCAGAGATTATGTTGCGAAAATCCCAGCTATGTGGTTTAATAATACATTAAAGTGCCAAAGTTTCCATGATGGATGGTATTGAGGGGAAAGAACCCAATAACAGCTAAATGGTTAGCACCAAGCTACTCAGACATGTATTAAATATATAGGGGTCACTTGTTTGGGTCCAGTGGCTCCATCTGAGATTTTTTTTTTAAGCAAGCGGCGTGAATGCAACTAAACTGCAACAGCATCAACCTCTCCCTCTCCAAGAAGCAAATGCTTCAGCCCAACTAATCCTATTATCTGATAACATTATGCAAACACTTCTGGAGCAAATGAAACACAAACACCATCATGGCAACTTGGTCTGATCAGCCATAGTAATGATTTTCTGTCTTTAGGCTTTGCCTTACAGAAGAGGTGTGATCTCACAGTTAGAGCAGGGAACAAGAAATCTCTTAGCCTGAGCTTTGTTGCTGATTTGCTGTGAGGCATTTACAAAGTTGCTCAGCTCCCGTGCACTTCAGTTTGCTGGTGATCAAAAGGCTGCTCTTATCCTACCCTTACAGGATCTCACAAGGCAGTCCGAGTCTTCGTGAAGTTACTTGGCGTCTTGAGATCCTCAGCTAGAAGATACTGCAAAACAGTAGGAGCGCTGAGACATTTCTTGTCCTTCTGCATTCACCCAGATGCCAACAGCAGCTTTCTGTGACTGACATGCCACAGAACAGTTCAGGAGCTAACATACTTAAAGACAGGCCAAACCCATCCCTGCTGCACCACCACTGACTTCAAGGACGTTATAGCAAGGATAAGTTTAGCATGACACTTATAAATAATGGAAGGAGAGAAACACACTAGGGGCTGGGGTGGGGGGAGGGAAAGTTCGTGTCATCTTCTCTTCTGTGGCTCTGTAAAGCATTTAATTGCTCCCAAAGGCCAAATTGATGCTGCCATGTGCTGTGGGAAATGAAAATGATCAGCTGGAAAAATGCCTCCAGCTCTGGGACCCAGACTGGAATTTGCAAACACTGTGTGAACAACTGAAGAGCCCTGCATTTCTTATTAGTTCATCTCCAGAACTCCCTGTACAGCCTGAACATACAATGCCTTTTGCCTGACATAACCACTTGTAACATTTCATGTCCTATTAATCCAAGCAGCAGGGACTCACTTTTTCACACTGTAGCGATGCTGCTAGCAAAGGAAATGCAGTGACTCAGGGCTCGGCCTTCCTTGTATTCTGTTCACCCCATTAATGTGGCGGCTGCCCTAGTCAGTGCTGTACGTGGGCGCTGAGTCAATGAAAAAGTTAATGACTTTGCAGTAGATGCAATTTAGATGAAAAACAGAAGCTGGGATGGTCTTTTCTACTTCACACATTTAAAACAAAAAAACAAAAAACCAACCTCTGCAACAATTCCCGGAGAGCTGCAGATGTAATGATGCCATAGGTCATGGGTAGCAACTCATGCGGTGCCCCCGCAAGATCTGGACTGTGGGGCTCCTTGCAAGCCAAATTTGGACTCGCTCCCAGCAGCAGGACGAGGACAAGTGTCAGGCAGCCACAGGGATTAGTGTAGCTGTCACTTGCCTCGCGCTGCCACCACTGAAATGTGTCCCTTGTGGGGCTCTGTACCCCAGAATTGGTCAGTGGCTCCCTGCCACCGCTCCCCCACCCCTGAATTCTTGGCCCCGCGGCTGACATTCCTGCTAGAGAGGATCTGATTCTGTTTCAGACTGCAGGAGGCCGTTTCACCGCTTTCTCTGCACAGGCCCTCAGCCAACTGCCTTTCTAGCTCGCTACCAGCTCATTTCCCCTCCCTTCTCCCCCACCTTGTCTTGTACACCTCTACCTAGGCCTGGGACACCCTCCTCACCACCTGCAGATAAGGGAAAGCGCTTGGAACTAACAGACTTTTTTCCAGGAAGTGTGCGAAGGTCAGAGATCAGCATTCATTCCCGTGGTGATAAATATTCCATGTAATTGCTGTACAAATGCTAGTGTTCAGGATTTATTTCAATTAGTTCATGAATGTCGGTTGCATTATCCCCCTTTGCAGTGCCAGACACAGCTTCTTGGGAGGAAGCCTTTTCTGCAATAATTTAGCTGTCATCACCTTCACTCCTGAATCCTTTAGGCCAGGTACAGGCTCGCCCTGTTCCTCTCCAACAGGTGAGATTCCAGGTCTGACTTTACCAGCTTAAGGTGGTTCTTCGCTCTGAGAGAGCAAATGAGTCAGCTGAACTCCTTAATGAGATAAACACAAGTATACTGTTGATTAAAAGCCATTACTGTTTTTCTGGAATTATTTGGCTCTCTAGTTGCCTAAATGTGATCAGGCAAAGGTATGTCATAGTCCCATGGTAACAAAGAGGGGCCCACAGCAATACTCAGTCCTTTGCACTGGGAAAGTTCAGCCTAAAATTCATGTCTTGATCCTGGAGCAAGCAACCTACATAGATTCTAGCCAAGCTGTGATCCAGATCCAAACTCTTCAGTTTAGATGCATGTCTAAATCAAACTAAAGGGGATTTATACACATGCTCTGAGAATAAGGGGGGGGCTTTAATTAGAGCAGCTCCAAGAGCCGCTCTAATTAAAGCACCTGGAGCGTCACATGTATCAATGTTCCTGTGCTGAAAAATGGCAGCAGGGGCACTTAAAGCACCCCCGCTGCCATTTTTCATGCAGGGATGCTAATACATGTGGTGAAGGAGTTTGCATTGAGGGTTGTTTTTTTTTTTTTAATAACTACCCTGTCAAAAAAATGTGAACCCCTGTCCGCAGCCCACAGTGGTACTCTGAACACAAAGGCAAATGTCTGTTGGGCTGTTTATACATATCAGGATACCTTAAGAGCACTGCGAACATCTCCACAGTTATCACAGATGGTGAACTGGGACCATGAAGGCTCCCTTTAAGGCCAGACAGAAAGAGACCAGGAGACACTGTCAGGAAGCTCAGATTCAGTGAGAAGCCCAGTGTGCTCTGTGAATTAAGCCTTTCTGCAGTAAGGAGGCTGTCAGTGCAGTGACTTCATGAGCAAGTGCTTTCTGAACCAAGGGAATTTATATCTCTTGGTGTGGATGTAAATCCCAGTAGTTTTCATTTAAGACACTCCAGGCACATTGCAGTGGAAAGTGCATGGCAAAAGCACGGCGTGTTCCAGGCCTCACTTTTAGATTTCTGGCCCTCAGAGCGAAGCTGAGCCAGGAGCCTTGCTTCCTTATGCAAAGCATGGGGAGAGTTCGGCAGGAGGAGGTCCAAAGCAATCAGACCAGAGAGCAAGGAGCCACCTTAGTAAACGCTGGCATGGACCCTCTGTCTTTTGATCTCCTATCACCTAGCCACCAGGCAGGAGAGGAGAAGCATTCTCTCTCTCTCTGTGAGCATGAAAGATGAGGCAGAACTGGATTCAATTTATTCCTCTGCCTGAGAAGACCTGAATCTCTACTTCCACCCTAGAAAAGTGCCCTTGCCATGACAGAAGGATGTATTGTAGCAGGGGACATCCTTCGCCTCTGCTGTTGAAGCTGTTCCACTTTACATGGAATGATGTAACGCTCACAGCAAGACGGAGAATGACCCTCCTCCCCTGCCTGGTGAGTAGGACACACATTTGAGAAAGGGAGGCCTGGATTTCTGTCCCTGCTCTTCTGAATACTTTTTATAAAAAGTGAAATGTTCAGTACAGCATGGCTCGCACTCTGTTTTTCTCTTTCCGAAGTCAACATCCTACTCAATAGGCATGTTTCTTTAAAGATGAATGGTTAGTTTCATAGTTAATGGTGTAAGAAAGACACCTAGCACAGTCAAAAAACTCCCCCTCTGATGAAGGATAAGCTCTTAGGTTCATCCCATGTAACTGAAGTCCCAAGGAGTTTTGCCAGTATCAAGAGGAGCAGGACAGGAGTACCATATGCAAATCCAGCAGCAATTGCATTGTATTAACATTAGGGTTTATTTGAGATTGGACAGGATGCACCTCCATCCTTTTCAAACAAAATAAGCTGCACTAGTTTCCCTTCCATCCTAAATCCACACCTGTCTTTTGTTGTGGGGGGGCAAGTTTTTTGGTATTCCAGCAACTGTTGCTCTATGGAAGATTGTGCTGTGGAGATGACTCACAGCCCACTCCTCTCTTCTGCTCAGAAGGAAGAAGATACATAAATCCTGACATGAATATGCATCCTAGATATATACCCTATAGAAGTAATGAGCAAATGCAACTTCCCATGACTGGCACAGGATCCCTGTGGACTGGGCCTCAACCAACTCCCGCATGAAAAGGAAACTTCCATACAATTTTCTACACAGGAAGAACTACAGAAATGCATTTCAGTAGGAGACAAGGCTTCAAACACTGTGAAAGGACACGTTTCCTAAGTAAACACCATGTTGGAACATGGTTCTATGCCCTGTAATAGGAGATGGGTCTTAAGGAAAACTTCACCAATATCACCCATGCATCTGAAGAAGGGGTACTGAGATGAGGTCTCATGTTTTGTTTGTACACCAGTATTATACAAGATGGACTCTTGACATGTTGCTCTCAAGTCTTTTGGATGTTGCTATTCAATGCACTGTCCCTAGTCTCGCCTGTTGAGTTAAGTTAGAAACCGACAAAAGAGAACAAATCAAATAGTCCTTCAGGAAGAATAAGTAACTGACAATAAGCACTGGGGATGGTTTAGTGGGCATCAATTCACAGGAAACAATGACACCTTGTACTTACTGAGACTCCTGGATGCACATAAGATGTATAAATGGATCATTCTAGCTCCACCGCACTCCTGCAAGATAGGTGCAGTATCCATTGTACGGATGGGGCAGCTGACAAAGAACGCACCAGCGGAGCACCGTGGCATGGCCCACAGCAGAACCCTAGACTGCCACAATTCCCGTGTCAAAACTACAGGATGATCTTTTTTTCCCTTTTTGACATTAACTCTCCCCTCCAATTTCATTTTCCATAGCAAACAAGTGGTGGAAGAATTCACCTCCTGGGACCTTGAACTCCATGCCCACCCGCCCAGCCCCCAGTAGATTTTAGCTCCAGTTTTTCATCATATTCCAGGAACTGTTTTAATCTGTATTTTTCAGTCCACAGGATAAGCAAGCACCTCTCATGTTTGATTGTACAGTGACCAGATACTAATGCGGTGGTCTTTGGAGCCAGCTGCCAGAAGTCTTTCACTAGGGCTGCTGTGATCTGAGAAGGACACACAGTGGACGGTTGCAGTATGGAAGTCCAGCACTGCCAATGGCTTCATTTTCTTCCAGCCAAAGATCCTGATGCGATAATCCCAACCTGCCGTTGCCAGTATCTTCCTGTCCTGGCGGATGGTAACATCAGAGATCCCAGAATTGATGAGTTCATGTGTTTTGTGAACCTAAGGGGCAAAGTCACAGAACAGACTAAGTTTTTTAAAATGTGCTTATAAAAACAAACCCTTTGGGATTTAAGAGGTGACAAACACATGCAGGTGGCAATCTGACTACTAGCTTTTTACCCTGTGTGGGAATAGTTATGGCACGGAGTTGGATAACAGTAGGCAGATGGAAATGACCTTTTCGAAAACCTGACTCTTCCACTCAGCTATTCCTGGAGCTTAGCTTGAACTGCCAGTTCAGAGCCACGGCCATTCATTTTCAGACTTCAGCAAGACTCCCATGCAGGAGTTTTGGCTTAGCATTAAACTACGCCGCTGCTCATTCCTACCGAGGAAGCTCCCCTCAAAAAACGCAGTCAGCTGTGATGCCATTCTGTGCAAAGCCTTGAGAAAGGAGTGCTTCCAGGAATTAGTTCGCAGTATTAGCATATTTGTATTTCCAGCACTTGTTCTGGAAATCCTTTGTTCATGCTACACAGAGGGTGCGATTATACACGCGCCCGACTGCAGTTGTTACTGTGCAGTCATTTAGTACTTGCTAAATGACTGCGCAGTAACCACTGTTACTGCGCACTTCTGGCAGTGCATAGGTCACTTCCAACCCTCCTGTGCAGTAGCTTGTCGCTACTGTGCAGTAGCATTGGCTTCACGGTTCGTGCTCGCTGATGCTATGTCGCCATAGCTTGTTGCTATGGTAACACAGCATCTTGTGTAGATGCACCCAGAGAGGAGTAGATGATGAATGGATGACTGATTTTAAGCTGGGGAGCTCCTTATTATTGTTAAACAACTCTTGGATCACAGCCTGCAACGTGCATAGGTTGATTCAAGGATTGTTAGCACAGTTTGACCCTGGGCACGCTGCAGAATCAAACACTTAGAAGGGAAAAGAGCCTTTCAGTTACGAGTGCTGGGAGCTCTTCAGATTTAACCAGAACACCAAACTAATTGCTACTCTTATCACTTACTTCAGACAGTGTAATTATTTAGTCAACAGTCCAACTCTAAAACATATATACATTGTGGTATAAGAACAGTATATTTCATAGAATCATAAAAAATTAGTGTTGGGAGGACCTCAGGAGGTCATCTAGTGCAGCCGTTCTCAACCTTTTGCACCTTACATCCCACCAACCATTTTGTCAAAAAATCCTAGTCCCACCACGATAAAAACAAAACCCCACAAAATTGCACTGCTTGAGATATCTGTTGATTCAACTATTTAGAGTGCAAACAACTGATTTTTTCAATCAGGCAATGAGTTGAAGTCCCACCTACATGACTTTCGAGCTCCACCAATGGGACACACCCCACTGGTCGAGAAACACTGATCTAGTCCAACCCCCTGCTCAAAGCAGGACCATTCCCAAATAGATCATCCCACCCAAGGCTTTGTCCAGCCAGGTCATAAAAATCTCCGAGGATGAAAAGTCCACAACCTCTATGGCAACCTGTTCCAGTGCTTTACTGCCCTCCTTGTGAGAATGGTTTTCCTAATATCCAACCTAAACTTCCCTTGCTGCAACTTGAGACCATTGCCCCTGGTCCTGTGATCTGTCACCACTGAGAACAGTCCAGCTCCATTCTCTTTTGAGCCCCAGTTCAGGTAGTTGAAGACTGCTATTAAATCCCCCCTCAGTCTTTTCTTCTCTAGACTAAATAAGCCCCGTTCACCTTACCCTCTTCTCATAAGTTGTGTCCCCCAGCCTCCTCACCATTTCTGCTGGCTTCCACTGGACTCTCTCCAACTTGTCCACATCCTTTTGGTAGTAGGGGCCAAAAACTGGAGACAGTACTCCATATGTGGCCATACCAGTGCTGAATAGAGGGGAATAATCACCTCTCTTGATCTGCTGGCAACGCTCCTACCAATGCAGCCCAGTATGCTGTTAGCCTTCTTGGCAACAAGGGCACACTGCTGGCTCATATTCAGTTTATTGTCCACTGCGACCCCAGGTCCTTTTCTGCAGAGCTGCTGCCCAGCCGGTCAGCCCCAATCCCATCTGGGTGCATGGGATTATTTTGTCCTAAGTGCAGGACTATGCACGTGTCCTTGTTGAACCTCATGAGATTTCTTTGGGCCCAATCTTCCAATTTGTCTAGGTCTCTCTGAATCCTAAATCTCTGGGTTTATCTCGTAAATGAACATAACAGTGCAAATATTGTGTGGTACTTTACAACACCCTTAAAAGAATCTCTCAACACCCTGGTTGCGAATCACTGATCTAAAGGTTATAAATATTAACTGGAATCCTCAAAAAGAAGCATTAATTCAAATCTGGCATGTGCTTTCTTCATCCTTCATACCAAGTAAGTTGGGAAATGGGGTTGTTTCTAAACAAAGACTGAAGAATAAGAGTATCGACTCTAATGTGCCCAAAATTCAACTAGGACAGATACAGGAGGAAAAATGGAAGTACAACTTAAGGTCAGACAAACACCTCATCTTCAACACCTTACCAACAGTAGGTGCACTTTGCTATTCCCAGTGAAGGTTCAGTTTATACCAGCAATGCTGTATTTTTGCTAGTACAGTGTAGTCCAGCATCCCTGAATAAAGGAGCTATATCAGCAAACATACAGTTTCGCCAGCTTGTGTCAATGGCAGTGGGTTTTGGTGGCAAATCCATGCTGGGCAGGCACAGGTACGCTGGCAAGAATGTCTAAAGTAGACATGGCCTCCGTAGTGGAGGTTATGAGCTAGAAGACATAACCTTATAACAATTGTCAGCATATGTGGGCAAAACCCATGCAGGAGAAACTGAAAGCAAGGAGTAGGTGGAATTGCCTGTCTGCAGCAAGTCACAGCTTGACAGCGAGGGAATAACAGTGGGTAACTGCAACATCCATCCAGACAGGGGGAGTGTGGGGGAAAGGGAACCTCCTGCAACGTCCTGAACACACACTCAGGGTATTTGTAACCAGAGGATACTGTAGTTTTGCAGGGGGCAGGGAAGGGGAGGGTTAGTCTCCCGTAGTATTGTAGAGGCAACAACTACAGTCAGCAAAGTCTTCCCTAACTAGAAAAAATAACTTCATGATTCAGAAAGGAAACAGGACAAAAGAGCTGAGATCTGGATTTTATGCTTTTGGCCAGTCAAAGATGAAGGCACTCCCACATGGGCCTGTGCCAGGGCACATGGACAGTCCAACAGCCCCTTTTTCACTAAGGTGTCACAGGCAATATTCTTGAAAATCCAACCAGTAAACATTTACCATCTCAAGGGCCATCCTTGCTGTGAAAGAAAGAGCCAAGGCGGCAGCAGCAGCAGGTTACTTTTAGAGCCTCTGTGGGCAAGAAAAACATATGTGCTTGTTTACACTGTGGTTTATCAAGTCTTCCTTTTTCTCCTTGTCTAACAAAATGAAGGTCTGTGGTGGCATTTATGCTTCGCAGAGCTTCTACAATTTCTGAATGCCTCAACTCTACACTGGTGTTTAAATCACCTGCAGAAGCTGTTTACCTTCTGTGTTCCTCTGCCACAAACATTAGCCCTCAATTATACTACTTCCTTCAAAGCTCATAACCCATCCAGTCATTTACTGATAGCAATAACTTCAGCAGTTTACTCATATGGGACAATGCACTAAGCTTCCTTTTGTGGATAAAGTAAGTAGTCACCTTCATCATCTATTCATTGCCACACTGGAACGCTGCCACATGAAACAGCACTGTGGTTACCATCGCTACATCATCATTTCTCTGAAGGCAGATACCCCTGTACCAAGTTTAGTTATTAAGACATTTTAAAGTAAAAAGTGTGCCACTGAGTGGCTTTCCAAATGCTACTATTACCTCAGGTACCTGGAATGTCAAGAAAAGTCCCCATCTGGTTTGTATTATTAATGCGGAAAAAACTTAATCTGCCTCCTTGACTATTTCTAGTGCTTGTGTGAGAGATTTTTTTATTTATTCTAGTTTTATTTGTGGATTCACACTATGCACCAAATAAAAATGATTATTTACACATTATAATGCTTTGTACTTAAACAGCACTTCACTTAAGGAAAACCACTGTCAGCTCAGTAATCAACCATGCCTCTGCTAGGTACACAACATTTGAGGCTGTATCTTGCATGAAAACAATACCTGAATACTCTGAAATGAACAACTCTGGGGTTTGCTTTCATGATACTTTTGATACTATCTCCTACTTAGGGATTTTTTTCCCTTGACACTAGCCTGACAAGTAAGATACTGTTTCTCACAATGCAGTCTCACCTATAGGTTATGAACAGGAATCCAGGTTTTCCATTTCCCACAGAAAAAATGCAGGTTTTCCCTTTTAACTGAGAAAAACACGGATTTCTCATTTTAATAGAGAAATACATGGATTTTCCACTATTACAAAGAGCTCTCTGCAGGATGGCAGAGCTCCAGCCTGCAAGGGGCTGGGAGGAGGGTGGTCAGGCAGGGGACGCCATGTGCATGTGCATGTACATGCCAAGCAGCTGGAAGAGCAGCTCCTGCAGGTGAGTCTGGTGGGGGAAGGGGAGATTGAGGCCCCCACAGGGAGGGAGGTAGTTGGGCAGGGCTGGGGCTGCTGCCCAGCCAGGCAGTGCATGGGGCAGGTGTGGGCTGCCTGCTGCAGATTCAGGCTCCCCACCCTGCTGCCCTCTCCCTGGGGCCTCCACAGCCCAGCGGGTGGGAACCGGCATGGCAGGGAAGCATGTTGCTGCTGCTGCAAGACCCATGCCACCCTGGCAAGGTGCTCCCTGCCCACCCAGCAATAGGAAGGGGCACAACCCCATGCCACCACCCCCACTGCTGCTGGGCAGGCAGGGAGCACTTTGTCAGGGTGACACAGCAAGGAGCATCCCCACCCGGTCCCGCTCTGCCCTGCTGTGCCGGGTCCCACCCACTGGGCCGCAGAGATGGAGGGAGAGCAGCAGGGTGGGGAAGGCAGCAGGGTGGGGAGCCCAAGCCCACAGTGGGCAGCCCTTACCAAAACCTGTGGTTGCACATCAAATTTAACTTCCAAGGACTCTGTAAAGGCCTGTTCATTTGCTAGGAGCCACCCAGGAATGATTCTGCAAGTGCCGGCAAGGGTGAGAGACCATTAGAAAAGGGAGTTGAGGCTTGCTGACTAGAGGTGGGTTTCTTTCAGGACCTTGGTGAAGATGCCAGGAAGGAACTCTGAAGAAGCCAGAGAACCGTTCATTAGGGCAGCGTTTATCAACCTGTGGGTTGCAACCCAAAAGCCGGTCGCAAGAATATGTGAAAGGGTCACAAACGGACTTTAAAAATGGACTCTCCTTTAAAGGAGGAAAAATGTGAAAAACTGTGGGTTTCCTCTTGCAGGTTGGCAGAGTTCCAGCCTACAAAGGGCTGATTGGGGCTTGGGGGAGGGCAATAAGGCAGGGGGCACCATGAGCATGCGTGAGGGCACACATTCATGTGGCAGCCAGGCAGCGTGGAGAACAGCCTCCACAGCTCCCTGCAGGTAAAATTTAGAGGGGAGGGTGGAACAGGAAACATGTTGGGGGTGGTGTGGGGGGTGCATGTGACCTCCCAGATTTATGAGCCCACAGCAGGCATGGGGCTGCAGCCTGGTGGGACCTCCCACACCAGGTCCCTCCCACTGGACTGTGGAAGCAGCTTCTGCCCACGCCAGTCTGGCCAGGCTGCGCTCACAGTGGGCACAGGGCTGCACAAATCTGGAGAGCGCATGCCCTCCCTTGCCCCACACAGGGGGAGTGGAGGGGCTGGAGCCTGAGGGGGGGGGGCAGTGGGTAGGGAGTGAAGGGCGCTAGCAGGGCCACAGGGCTGTTTTCTATTTAAACTATTTACTGGGCTGCGACTGGACATCAATGTTTACAAATGGGTCCTGCTAAAAAAAGGTTGAGAACCACTGCATTAGGGGTTGTAGGAGGCTGGACTCCTGGGGTGGTGTCACAGAAAACAATGGCAGAGGACACCAAACCCAGCAACCTCTCATAAGGAAGTCTGAACTGGGATCTAGAGTAAGGCATATGCTTGCCTCTGCCAAGGGGAGGTGAATTGTACCTGAATTCATTTTTATTTTTATCATGCTCCCCTATGTAGTTGTGATGGATCCTCTCCTTCTGATACTGCTGAGATCTGCAGTTCTTAATGGAACTAATCAAGTAACCATCCCATTGAAGTATTGAGAAAAGCATATAAACTGATATATTAGAAACTTGTTTTGAGATCTGAGGTTGGAATTTTCAAAGGCACCTAACCCAGATGGTCACCTACTATCTTTTATTTGTAAAGAATTTCCAAGTCACATCTGTTTTCCCTAATGTCAAAGGAAAGCTCTATCCTTTCCAGCAGAGCCCTTCAGAAAACAAGCCTTTATTTTATAGTAAAACCACTTCATTTATAAAATTTGGGGTGTCCTGCACATTCTACAAGAGGGCAATGATATATTAAGGTACAAAAGTGATGGCTCAAAGAATGCTAGCCTTATGTGCCTCTTACAGCCTTGGTAAAAACCAGAAACACGTGACAGGTTTAAGAAAAACCACATCACCCTTCTCTGACTAGCCATCTAGCACAGCCAGCCCCTTGCATTCTAACCAGTCTGTGATTAATTAGCTGGAGATCTGCAACAACTCCTCTTCACGACTAAATATTTTTTTAGTCTATCAAACTGTTAGTGCAAAGTGGGATAAATGACACTAAGGGGCCAACAATCCTGACCTTTAAGTTCTGCTGTTCATCGAGGCTCCAGACGCTAAGCACCTTCTCAGATGAACCCGAGACCCCCTTGGCCTTCTCCGAGTCAAAGTCAAGGCTCATCACTGGCTCCTGGTGGCAAGCAAGCCGACTCAACATTTTTCCCATTGATAAATTCCATAGGATCACGGATCCATCCTCATAGCCAGCCATAAGGAAAGGACATGCCCCAAAGCCAGGCTGTTGAGAAACAGGGAGAGGAGGGGAAAAACATGAAATGAGAATCATTGTTGGTTCTTCCTATTTCCAAATCTGACTTTAGGTCAAGTACCAAGAAAAAGTAACGAAAACGTGACCTAGAGAATGAATAGTTGCGAGCACAAAGCTCAGAATGCCAACACTAAAGGCAGCCTCTGGTACTGCCCTTTTGGGCATTTATTCTGGGTATTTATCCAGAATAATTACTGCTAAATCATTTCTCAAATGCTCAGCAACTGAAAAGTAATTATTTACATAACAAAAACTTCCCTCAAAATTATTGGACTCAAACACATTATCCTGAAGATTTCAGAACCTTACATTTCTGACTTGGGCTTCTTACCTCCACACTATTAGAGCCAAATTTTCAGAATCATTTCTGATGTAACACCCAATGGACATGTCCAATATCGTACCAAGCCACATGCTTTACCTTCTCACAACACTTTCAAACTGTTTTCCAATTATACATAATCTCTTGGATTACTTTTGCCCCTCTATTATGCTAATGAGGTTCTACTTTTCTTTTGTTGCCAAAAAACCTGCATGACAAAAAATTCTGCACCTACACTGTGTCATTTCAGGCCCAAAAATCTCTCTCCATTTGTTAGCAAAGAGTTAATAGTGGCGTCTGAATCCCACTGTAACCAATTGAGAGATATTTTGATTAATGATGTCACAGGCCAAAGGGCATGGCACCCCGGGCAGACACCTAATTTATTTAAGCCTCTGAAATAACTCAAGGAAGGGAACGTTACTGGATTACATGTCACACTTAAGGAAAATATTCATCATGGCACTAGCCAAAAGACTAATGATCCCTTAAGTGGTAACTGGTCATGTGAGTGAGGATGCAAATCCCTAATGAAAAGCAACTGAAAAACAAGCATCTGTTAACACTGGCTACATCTTTAATAGAGAAAAATTCATTAAAAGAGACCCAGGATTTGACATCAGCATATATAGGGATGTCTTCACTTGGCAACGCACATGCAAACATATTTTATTCTTTCAAAACATACCTGCTACCACTATAATTTTCCTGGGCTTGGAGTTCTCCTATAAAATAAAAATCTAGCAAGTTTTTAAAGGATAAATTATTACTAGTATCTTATGTTCACACAGAGTTCCTCTTAACTAGTCAAAGTATCATTAATATGATACAAATCTCTACTCATCTAAATCTCATCATTACAGTTTCCAGATGCCTCACACACTAATTAAAACACATTTTAGGAGGAGATCAACTAATAAAAAATGGGCAGCCTGACAAGTAAGAGCTCCATTCAATAATGGAAGAGAATGAAAAGTGGACCTTCACGAATGCTGGCAGTTTAAGTCCTAAACTTCCAGAATTTAGTTCAAGGAGAATTCAGAAGTAAGGGGACAAGCTTCACAGACCATGTGGCTACACAGAGTAACCTCTTAATGCTAAAAAATAGAGGTCTCCAGCACCCCGTTATGAACAGGCACTGCCCAAGTCCCTGTGTGTGTGATCACCCCCACTGCACTTGATCCCCAATAAAGACTGGATATGTCTCATTCCTTAATCCATAGGACCTCTTTCTTTTTTAAAAGCAAGGCTCATTTTCTGCTATGAGGCATTTATATGAACAGCCATGCCTCCTGAAGCTAGGGAGTTTGTCAGCTGAATATTTTATTGTCAAATAATTGTAGCTCGAGTTTCAGCAATATCGTATGCAAATTCACGTCAATGGCATCTGATGGATCTTGGTTGAACAAGAAGAGTTGAAAGGCACTAAGAAAAAGTCAGGATGTTTCATCTGAACATTCTCAGAATTAAAAGTTTCACTCTTTAGTTTTAGAAAGACACTTTCATCCTCAGAATTAGCCTAAATTTAAGAAAATATTTAAGAAAATCTGAAAAATGAAACTAAATTTGGGGTCAAATAAAATATCTTTACAAAAACCTTAGGGCAATTTCTTTGAGTAAGAAATCAATTATTTGTACAGCTCTATTGCTGGGGCGTGATTTCATTATGGCAATGGCCCTGGGGTATATTCCACTAGCCAAGAAAACTAATTATCTTTAGGCTAGCTCAGGTCCTTTGTCTTCTTCTTAGTGGTCAGCAGTTCATAGGTGTTTATCTCCCATCAGTCCCTGTTAAAAACAATCAAAACTACTGGATGCCAAGAATGTTTTGACAATGTGGCCCAAAGATTTCTTTTGAAAATAACAATAATTTGCAGACAAGAGCCCAAACTGGCTTTGTTTAAACAAAAGACATGCAATGCTTTCCATGAAGGAAAGGAACTATTTTTTTCAGGATAACACAAATCACAGGATGTTTATACATATTATGCAGACATATTTACTGATGTACGTGCAAAGCTATACCATATGTTTATTTAAACCAACTAGATTACTAGATTTGATCTCTACCTTGCAAAGCAGCTGGGATCACGCTAGCTTATTTGCTTCAATCGCTAATAATGGACTTCATTAAAAAAAAAAAAAATCCCAAACCTCAAATCTTTCACTACTCATGTTCTGGTTTCAGGGGGAATTTTTTAAATAAATCATTGTTTCTCCTAAGCAGAACATTTTGTTTTTGTTGCATTGGATAACTGTCAAGGAAGGAAGAAAACGTGATTTGCTGTCAACTCTGGAAGAATAATTGCTATAGTTTATATAAAGTAATAACTCCGCATTTCCAGTTTCTACATGCATTATTCCTGTCAAATTGTTTGCAGACATTACACAACACAGTGCCTTTCCCAGGAACTGGGGAAAAAAAATCTGAAGAGACAACTATCCTACGTTTGCAAATCCTACCCAACCCAAATAGTAATGGCAGGACAGTGGGAGCCTGGAGGGACAATCAGGTATGTCTGTATATACATACATACCACATATGTTTACAAATATGATCCATCATGGGAGGTGAAGATACTATACCCAATCATATGAACTGCTTCTTTTACCAAGAGAATTAGCAAAATATGATTTTTTTTAATATAATTTCGCTTTACTCCCAAAACAACAGAATAGGCTGATGCCAGCTTTTTAATTGCTCAGGAGAAGCCAACGCAGCTCAAGCCACAAGCCTAATCTAACCCTCAATTTCCTCCCACTCTACAGCTATGTTTCTAACTGAAGCTGCTGCCAGTGAAGTGTATCATTTCATACACAGATCGTTTTGAAATAAGCACGCAGAAGGACACAGTGATACAGACGATGGTGTTCATTTAGTCTGCGGTTTAATGCAGACACTGACAATGAGGAAACCACCAGGCCACTTCCAAATGAATGCAAAAACTAAAGGAAAATACTGTTTAACTGTTAGATACATTAATTTGCGCTTCTGCACTAAAGGATTCAAAACTGCTTTACAAACATCAATTCATTAACCCTAAGAGAAATCTGAAGTAAAGAAGGATTAGCCACCCTATGCTACAGAATCTGTTGTGAAGTGTGAATTCCTGAAGTCACTGAGTGTGTGCAAGTGGTCAGAAAGGTGTTCACATCTTCCTGTGACTAGGCCTATGCTTTTTATACACAAAATCATCCTTCCTTGAAAGCATTTATACATTAAGACATTTATTTTAGAATTTTACCATAATAGAGAACACACTCTAGCTAAAATGCAATCCAATTCATGTAAGGTAGAAACAGAAGATCAATGACAAGCAGCAGAAGTTGGGAAAAGATGTTATTTCTCAAAACCAACATGTAGCTTTAATTTTTTCCCCTCCTACTTTATATGAATACATCTAATTTACATAAGCATAGCATAATAATAATAATGACTATTACCATATAATCATAATAATGATCGTAGGTCATGCTGAATCAACAATTCTCCAACCTAGATCAGCAGCACAACTAAAACTACCTAAAATTAAGATTTTGTAACTGTGTCTAGGGAAACAGTGATATTAATACGTATTAGAAAGGACAAGTTGTACAAAATAATTTATAAAGCCAGTAAATGCTAAATACTATGCATATTTTCTTGGTTACCTTCATGTTATTTAATTTTTTGAACACAGAAACCCCCATTCATTCCCATCAAGAACTCAACATTTATTACCGTTCTTAAAAACATAATTGGCTCAGTTAAAGTACAATTATTCTGTTTTTATTTTTCTGATTTTATATACATCTTTAAGTCTACTATGGAGTTCAGTCTAGAAGCACATCCTACTTTGGTTGAAGTCAATAGCAAAACTCCTTTGTCTGTGGAGGAAGCAAGACTGGGCCCCCAAGATGCTTGCCCCAAACCTACAACTGCTCACAAGGAGTTGCCTCACAAGTCGGTAGGAATTCTGAGTGTGAATCAATGCTAGAATCAGGTTTTAAGTATTTTTTTTATATTATAAATCATCTGCAATAATGTGGCACTAACAAACAGCAAACAACACTGTCTAAATGGTTAGACCATGAAGTTCTCTCTCTCTCACTGCCACTGACTGCTTGTAAGATATAGGGGAAATAATTTAAACTCTATGTTTCTCAATTATTCATTTACAATCTCTACCTCAGAAGTCATTAACACCTTTTTTTTTGGAAAAACTATATTCTCCTTTCTTGTTCAAAGCAGACATAAGTCTTAAACACTTCACCCATGCTGCATGTCTAGAATAAAAATGTTCAATAACCTGCTCTCCAGCTGGTGGGGTTGGAGAAAATGAGCACAACCTGCCTTTAAAATTACTATTTTTAATACCTTACTCATTTCTCAGCACCTTTTATGTGTATCAAAAGATTGGCTTCTATACATCACTCATTTCTTCTTCACTGATGCAAAAAAAAAAAGTATCTATCCTAAGGTTACAAAGCTTTCAGTAAGTATTTGCAGATCATGTATCTTCCATTAAAGCTTGAAAAGCCAGAAGTTACATTAAGGACGTTCATGAATCTCTCCCCCTCCTCCCACCTTTTAATAGTATAATTACTTGATTGGTTTGACAATAAATCAGAATCTGAGTGAAGAAAGATTCATATGCTTTATATGAATGAATCACAGGGAAAACATTTCACAATTAGTAAGCCTGGTTGCCTTACCTGCCATAGCTTCAGACACATGGGCATGCCCAGTTTGGCACCTGCCTCTGGCTTCAAGGTACAGACTGATGTCTTGGATGGAAGCTCCAAAACCTGAACCTGACATTAGGAAAACAAGTTTATTTGGTCAGGCTCCAGGTCACAATTTTGCTGTAAAAACATGCACGAGTCTCTTAAGGTGATTAAAGCTAACAAAAACTCTTGTATTTATTTTCTTTATGTACATTGTCTATGGGAAACTCAGAAAGAAGGGTTAAATCAAAACAGGCTCAAAATGGGTTGGGAAACTGCAGTATGAGAATTCACTTTATCTACATAGACACACTGCTTTGTAAGAGAACGACGCCAGGTTGTTGGGATATGATGCATTTTCCTCTTGTACTCTCCAGTGTTTCCTCCAGCTTTTAAAATTCTCTCTCCAGACAAGCGGCAGCTGCAGGTTAGTTTAAACATTTTTCCTCTTCTTCTGGCTTCTCCCTCCATTTCTGTTGTGGAGCATGCCTGCTACAGTTACATAGGGAGACTTGTATTATCCCAACTCATACATCAGGGGTGGGCAAAATACGGCCCACGGGCTGCATCCGGCCCACGGGGCCCCTAAAAAAATTAGAAAATTAATATTTATCTGCCCTTGGTTCCTGTAAAAAATGACAGGAACCAAGAGTAGTAGGACCCAGGGGAAGCCCAGCAGGCTCCCACAACAGCAAGGCCTACTCAGCGGCAGCCCCAGCTGGGGCTTCTGGCCTGAGACCACGTGGACACGTGGCTGCCCTGCACCAGAACCGCAGGTGAAAGGGGAAGGTGGGGGGAGGGCAAGGGAGGACCACAGGCAGGGAAGGAGCCCAGGGAAAAGTGGCTCCGGGAAAAGCCAAGCGTGGGGGGGAAGCGGCCCCTTCCCCGCCCCATGCCCAACACCTCGCACTGCAGTTGCTCGCAGCCCACAGAAGGGCTGCCTGTGCCTGCTCTGGACAACCCTGCGGGCTGTGAGTGGCTGCAGCAGGGAGTGCCGGCCATGGGGCAGGGGAGGAGCCGCTGGCTCCGGGCTTGCTTGTCAGGGCTGTGCACAGTGACAGCTGCTGAAGCCCGCCCCCCGCTTGCTGTGCTGGGCAGTGTTTGCCACTCTTGCCTCTGGGCTGCCCTGCACGTAAGCTCCGGGCGGGCAGCAGCAAACACTGCCCAACATGGCAAGCGGGGGGGCCACAGCTTCTGTCACTGCATGCAGCCCCAACAGGCAAGCCCAGAGTCAGCATGGGGCCCAGGCTGGCAGCAGGGCCGAGTTATAAGTTGGTGCTGAACACGGGGAAAAGCAGCCCCTCACTTGCACTGTGGCCAGTGTCCCACGCTGTAGCCACTCGCAGCCTGCATGGGGCTGCCTGTGCCTGCTCCAGACAGCCCCGTGTGGGCTGCGGGTGGCTGCAGCAGGGAGCGCTGGGCACGGGGTGGGTGAGGGGTCGCTTTTCCCCGCGCTCAGCCGGGAAAGCAGGGGGTCAGGGCTGTGCACTGCCCCCTGCCTATAACACAGGACTGGGGGGTACTGGGAGTGAGTGAGCTGGGAGCCAGTGGGAGCACAGGGCCCGTACCGGTGTCCCGGGGCCAGTGCCAGTGGGGCCCAGAGCAGGGCATCAGGAGCACAGGGTCCCAGCCAGCAGGAGCTCTACGTAGCCGAGCCAGCTCCCCCCTCTCTCTGCTGGTGCAGCCCAGCCCGGCTCCACAGACCCCTGCCAGCCTGTGCCCTGCTCTGGGCCCCACTGGTGCTGGCCCTGGGACATTGGTCCCAAGACATTGGGACACTGGTCCCAAAATGGTGACCAGGGGGTGGGGCACCTGACAAGAGGCAGGGCTACCCATGCGGCCCTTGACAGCCTGCCAAAACTGGGTAAGCAGCCCTCCGCCCAAAATAACTGCCCGCCCCTGTCATACATTGTGGCTACACAATGGTTGTGTTGGGTATATGCATCATACTGAATTCACATAGCTATTTACTCACTGGCTGACCCTACACTACAAAAAATCCAAACCCTATAATTCTCCAATAGGGAAAACCATAGCACTGGCAGCACATTAGCAGTTTTACTACTATACTAGCTGACCCTACTTTGAACAGGGTCAGAGACCACTATGTTAAACACCTGCTTGCTGTCTACACAACAGCCTCCACCACTGCCTGCATGGATGGTAATGAGTTATTGGTCTCATTCTTCCTAAGGTGGCAAGTTAATTATGGGTCAAAGCTTGGGCCTCCTCCTTGTGCTGTCAGAGACAGAATGAATGCATTTCTTCAGCAGTATGGACAAAGGGACTTGCTGTAATCATCATCAGGAAGCTGAACTATAGGTGTGGGCTGGAAGGTGTGTTGGGGCAATAGTTCAGTCTCTGCCTGGAATCACCAGCCAGTGTCCACAAGATGCATGAGTGCTATAAAGCTAACTGCAGCCCTGAGAACATGGTCAGAAGAAACTGCTGCTGCTCCAAGTTGGGAGTTTTTCTCCCCTTAGCCCAGCTGCTCAATCTGTACCTTGGAAACACGATTCAAGGCCGTACAGTTCTCACACACTATCGTGATTTGTATGGTTTGGGTTAGTAATTCAAGGGATTTAAAAATTGGATACTATTTCAACTGTTAAAAAAAAAATAATAATTTGCGTTCAAAGAGCTAATTCAGGACACTCCAGCCAAGCGTACACTTCTCAGTGAGGAACTGCAGAACAAACAATCCGTATTTCACACACAAGGTACCCTGAGCAAATCCGTGAACAGTTGTGAATTTAAGCAGAAGAAAGCTGACAACCTTATTTCAGCGTATTTGATAAGCTGCTGTGATGCTGTGGGGTTTTTTATATCACAAAAGTAGAAAGCAGGAGTAGCACTTCACTGAGTAGAAGAAATGTGAGAAGATACAAACCCTGACAACTCCGAAGAGCAGGTCTCCATTTTCTTGTCAGATCTTTCTCTAGAGACATGTGTGTTAAATGCTTAATCCAAAATATTTACCTTAGAAACCTCAGTTCCCAGATAGTAATGGCACCGAGTTAATTAGCTCTATAAAACAGTTGTTCTAGACCTCGTAAATACTAATTACATCCATGTGCAAAATTCTGGTCAGTTCATGAGCTTTCAGGCTTGGATGTGCCCCCAGGAGCAGAGCTCAGCAAAGCTGAGAGGAGAGGAAGGTGACTTTACAGGGGATCTTTCTACTGCCCCCAGCCCAGGTCTATCAGCATCTGGAAAAGACCCCAAGTTAACTCTGGAGTAGCCTTTAAACTGCTCTAAATTATATCCACTGTGGCAGCCAACTGTGCTGGCCTAGGGCAGTGCACAGCATCTGGCTCTGCTCATAGCTGCCTTTTGCTATGTAAACTGACCATGTGCCCTATGTGGATGGGATGTGGAAGGAAATGGATGGTGTAAAGCCAGTATACCTGACTCTACATTCTCTCACAACAGGGAAGATCCTTGCTAGCCCTGCTAGGGTAGCTTCTTGCCCATTTTGCACTGTATGAACACAGCAGAGCAGTCTCTACAGGGGCCGAGGCTCAAGTCTGTCGAACTGTCAGTTCTGTAATGCCCCATGATCACAGCACTTGGGCAGAACTGCCTGTGTCCACCTGCGCAGACACACGTGTGTTCCTAGGTATCGAATATTTGTTGGTTGGGGACATTTATCCATATCTCCCGTTCACAAATATATGCTAACAGAATGAGGGTAGTTTCCATTTTATTGAAATAAGCCCTGGCCTACAATCTTTCCTTTCTAGACAGTAAATGGAAAGTAAAGGCTTGGCAACCCCAGAGATTGCCAGGCTGGCTCATTCTGGTGTATATCAGAATGTGACGAGCTCAATTCTGGTCTCAGATGTGAGCCCACAACTCCAACTCCAGTTAGCGTGAGGTATACACATGCACTTGAGAGGAAATATTGGTCTTATTGGGGTTTCTTTCCCAAATCAAAGGCAGAACAGCTGTGGTCTCCTTCCAATTTCATACATTTGCTTCAAAGCCTGCCAAGACATCATCCCCAATTCTTGAGGCTGTCAGGGAGTTTACCAAAAGCCAACTGTGCTCCAGGCTTGTGGAACACAAAATGCCCTACTGAGAATATAAAAGAAAATTCAAGGCCAGTCAGTACTGGAAGAGGAGACTAGTCTCCAGACTTGAAGGGTCTGAAGCAGAGCAAGGAGCCATTACCAAGACAGGAAATTTGTTTCATAATAGTCACACTAGAACTAAAAATTCTCCTTTTTTTCCTAGAGACCTCATTGTACATTGAGACCTATCAATAACCGCACTAGAAATAACAACAAACTGAATCACACTTACCTAGCACACCTTTTTACCACTGCACCTCAACATTTCAGGAGACTGAAATTGTAAGTTAGAAGTGCTATTGTGTTAAATGCATTTCTGCATCTTTTAAAAGCTAGCTTCCACCGTGGCATGACTCAGAAGGGAAGAGCTGGCGGTGGGGCTGCAGTTGTGCTTGCCAAGGACAAAGAGCAACAAGAAGACGAGAAGAGCTTTCTGCAGAAAGCAATGAAGCACGATCTGCCTTTAGCAGATTGACAGTTCCAAAGAAGGAGTCTGCATTAGTGGCAACCAAGCCTTAGAAATAAATACTATTTCATATATTTTGACAACTGTAACTTAAAACTTGAAGTTCTGTGTTTATATTGGTTTTCCTTAATAGGAGAAAGATTTGCCTTTGCCTGAGGTTAATAGTGTTCCTGGGTGGCTGAAGCTGGCCACAAGGAAACACACCCTTTTTCTTTTTCACATTAATAAAGCTTTTAACATGTTTCTGGCAAATTGGCAAGAGAAGTGCGTGTAACTCATAATTGGTGATTTAAATGCAATCATGAACAAATAAATGCCTGTTCAGATCTCATTATTTATGGACTGAACCTGCTTTAAGACAAAATTACTCTTTTTGGGCATCAGCCAAGCATAAACACTTATTAAGTCTTAATTTTAATCATAAGCCGCAAATGTACTGTGTCTCACCAGTGCTGCCTATTTGGAGGTACTATATATTATAGGAGCTTAAGTGAATTTATGGAATCCTGACACAGTTCTAATGTAGACGTTCATACACAGAATGGAACTTTTTTAACCTTGGGAGACAGCAAATCATCATCAGTTTGCAGGGCTCATGCATATAAATGAAAATAAAACAAAGAAATGAACTGTAGGAAGAAATGGGAATTTTTTCCTTTCTTTGGATTACAAGATAATTTCATTCTTCATTAATGAAGTGCTGTCTATAATCCTCCCAGAAGAATGTTCCCATCAGGTTTAAGAGGATGTTAAATATTATTGTGATGTAGAATGGCTGCATTACTTTGAACAATCGGAACAAAGTATGGGGTGACCTCATAACAGCTTGCCTTACTGTTTTTGGGTTCTATCCTGCAAAATGCTAAGCATTCTGACCTTGATCCAAGAAAATACATAAGTATGGGCTTAACTTGAAAATAATAAAAGTATTTATTTTCTTACTATCTGGACACCATTTACACATATATATTTGCCTTGAAACCCAGGAAATCTAGTGCCTTTGGATGCCTAAAAAGAATGTGTGATTAGCTACATGGTGTGCTTTTCACCTAGAGATGAACAGTTATTAAAGTGTTGTCTCTTTGTTCATTGTTTTCTACTCTGATACCACGCATTTGAATGAATGTTTTTTAGTATTTGCTGATTATCCTCAAATAGAAGATATAACTTGCATATCAAACAAAACAGAAATTTAAGAGACTTCTACAAAATCTACTCAAAGTTGTACTACTGTAGTAACGTTATTTAAAAAAAAGTTCCAAGTGGATTTCATGCTGTATTTAATCTATTAATGAATTTAATGGATATAAGGGTCCTGTTGAGAGTACTCAAGTCCACGACAAGTAGATCAGGAGCAGTGCCAGTACAACCTTCTGTGAAATGTCCTTCACCCCTGTCTGGAAAGGACTGTTTCTTTGAATGGGAGGTCCATCTTCCACCCCCCTGTGGAAACTTCTAAGAAAGCTGTTAAATAATGACAATTGTGGTAATGTATTTGAGAGGCCAAGATGCCTCCAGTAGAAACTGAACTGAGAACACAAATCAGATCCTACAGACCAAACTTCCACTAACATTTCAATATAAGTCTCATGTAAACCACCAACCTGGAGTCAAAAGCTGTGTACCACAACACCAATCACCGGAGCCATCCAAATGTCCCAATAAAATACTGCTCTACATTTCAGATGGAAATGCCTCCATCTGACTTTTCATCCATTAGCTAACTGGTCAAGCTCTAGTTCTCCCTTCCCAGTATTCAGGTAGGTGGGCCTAGCAGAACGGATTTAAAAGTCACACACACACAAGGTTATCAGCGGCAGCAAATACTGAAGGCTGCTTGCAGACCTTAAAAAAAAAAATGACCCCCCCCAACCCTTCAAAACAGTGCTTTACTTTAAACTTGGTGTGCTCCTGCACTGAGCCCAGCACATGTCCAAAAGAGGCAGCACATTAGTTTGACCTGGCTCACCCAACGTCTGTATAAATCGGGCACATTAGTGGTGCTTTTATCTAACAGTTGATTGAATCAGCTTTAGGTAAAAGTGCCAGAAAGCCCTGCTGAAGCGCCCGATCTATACAGACGCAGCAAAGCCGGGCTGAAGTAACACATTGCTTCTTTCAGTAAAGTGCAGTTTTTTGGTTTGTTTGGAGTTTTTTGTAAATATCTGTAAGCAGCTTGTATGTCAGACAAAACCTAGGAGAGAAAGGTTTGTTATCGGGCCGTGATTTATGGTTCAATCATAACCCTGGCAGGTCTAATCAGTAGCCACAACAGGCTCCTTCTGTCCCTCCCCAAACAGATTATTTGAGATTTTTGTCCCTTTCAGAATGTCTAACTGAAGAAACAAAGTAGGTTAGATGTACATCTTCTCTGTGCAACAGAGAGAAACACACTCCCTACCTCATCTGGGTCATTTGCTGGCATGGCTATTAGCCAACGGTCCTGCGCCATCTTCAGCAGCGAGCATCTGCAGAATCCCACACTATCCATGGAAATGGAATCTGTCACCATGCTCCTTCCTTCTGCCAAATCCCAGAGGCAGATCTTCTGATCACGACCCTGGCTTTTACCAGCAAAAACAAATACGCTGTATACAGTCACTTGCACGCAAGTTTTTGCAATAAAAACAAACATTTAAAATGTACCAATTTGGTATCAGAGACAAGCATTAGAAGAACACACATACAAAAAAGACCCACCTAAAACAGTTTTCTCCAAGAAACCCAGGTGTGTCATCACATGAACCAAACAAATAGCAGTAATAAGTAAAGACCATGTAGGAGAAGGAGGAAAAAAAAACCCATACAAGCTCAATGTGACAGAGGTCACAAATACAAGGAGGTAAAAGCAAGGCTATATTTCACTGTTTACCTTTGGAGGGTTAACTGGAAAAACCAGTTACCCCCCCCCCCCAAAAAAAAAAAAAAAAAACAAAAAAAAAAAA